TTGATTGATCAAACATTTCAAGTTATAAATGACACCTATAAATTACTACAACTTATAAAAATTTTATTGAGCACACTAACTTATAAAAATAGATCAATTAAACACATATTAAATAGTTGAAAAATGTAAAAATTATTATTTCAAAAGTTATGTTAAATACATACCATATTAATATTTTGCATATAAAAGTCAAAGCAATCAAATTTTTGTGGTAAATTAAAGTTTTAAATGCATAATAATTTATTATAATTTAAAATATTTCATAATATTTTGTAAAAAATAATTATTTTTGTAAAATAAATATTTTCATCAGTATTTTGTAAATATTTTTTAATACTTTGTAAAAGATGGATATTTATTGTAAAAAGTGATGATTACAAAATGATAAGAATGATTGTAAATATATTGTAATATTTCAAATATCTTATAAAAAATAATCATTTTTTGTAAAGTTGCTAGATTGCTAATATTTTGTAATAATTTTCCATAATTTGTAAAAAAGTTATTGTTTGTTGTGAAGTTGTCATATTAAAAAAAAAAAAAAAAAAATATTTCATTAATATTTTGTAAAAAATAATTATTTTTGTTAAAAATAAAATATTTTCATTCAGTATTTTCTTTTAAATATTTAATCACTTTTTAAAAGATGCCGATCGATTTATTGTAAAAAGTGATGATTAACAAAATCGATAAGAAGTTGATTGTAAACTATGATTGTAATAATCTTCAAATATCCTTATAAAAAAATAATCATTTTCTGCTTAAAGTTGCCTAGTATCTGCTAATATTTTGCTAAATAATTTTCCATCAATTTGTAAAAAAGTATTGGTTTGTTGTGAAGTTGCTCATATTTAAAAAAAAAAAAAAAAAGCTTTGATTGCTAATATTATCAAAAAAACGCGTTTTTTTTTTTTTTTGTAAAATTACGAAATAACTCAAATAATAAGTTCAAGTTATCAATATTGTTGAATACTTCTTCATACTTTGTAAAAAAGTTTTTTTTTCTTTGTTCTTTTTTTGTGAAATTGTTGTGAACTTGGAAAATAAAAAGTTACAATTTTGGTTCCAATATTTTTTGCTTATACGTGCATAATATATTGCTCAACAAAGTGATCTTTTTTTTTTTTTTTTTCTGTAAAAGGACTGGTCGGTTTATTAAAATTAATAGCTTTCCGATAGCCAATGATTTGATAAATTTACTAAAAACAATTTCATATTTTTTTTTTTTTTTTGTAAAAGTTGGTGGTTTATAAAATAATAGTTTCGATAGCCAATATTTGATATTTCTAAAAAATTTATAAAGCAATGTTATTTTCTGTAAAATAGTCAGATTACAAAATAATAGCTCTGGTTACCATTTATCAATATTTTATAATATCTTCAAGTATTTTGTGACAAATGGTTGTTTTTTATAAAATTGTTGAAATACAAATTAATAAATCTAAATTTCAATATTTTGTAAAAAGTAATAATTTTTTATAACTCAAACTAAAAGTTGGGAAATTTCCTTGAAGAAGGCATCATAGCAAGCTCCTTTTTTTTTTTTTGTCCTCTTCATTTTATTTACCATTTTAAAAATTTCTCCTAATAAAATTTACTTCCACAAACTTGCCCTTTCCTTTACTTTTCTCTTCAATCAATTTACGTCTACTAGTTTATGTAATATCAATTTTAAACTGATTATCAAATTATTAGCCAACCGTATGAAAATTGTTTTTCCTTCACTCATTTCAGCTACTCAGAGTAACTTTGCTCTTACAAAGTGGCTCCATGATAATGCTATTATCCTTCAGGAATTTATTCATTAAATGAATAATTTGTATGGACAAATTGGTTGGAAGATTTTGAAAAATGATTAAAGGAGGCTTATAGTCATCTGAAATGGAATTTTATTTTAGATTCTATGCAGTTTGTGGGCTTTTCAGATTCTTGGATAACTTTAATTAGAAAGTATCGTCAAACTTTGTTCAATGTAAATTTTATGGAATGATAATCCATATGAAAATTTTAAACCTACTCCATGTATACTTTAAGGTTATTCATCTTTCCCTATCTATTTGTTTTGGATATGGAGATGTTGGAACTATTGAGTTTCAATATCACAATACGCAACGGAATAAAATAATTATAGCAAAATAATTATTTCAAAAGGAATCCATTTAAACAATTAAAGCAACAAAATTGTTCAAAAGAATACATGTTTTGCTGATTCTTCAAAACTTCGATCTACGCAACTACTAGGTTGTCGCAAACTATAAGATGTCCAATTGTCCAACCTCTAGTAGTATCCATACGATCAGATAATTATAAAAACTCTAAAACTATTTTAGAGGGTTGAGAGGATAGAGAGTATGATGGTGCTGCCTTTCTTACGCTTTATGTTTACTTTGGTGGCTATCAATTTAACAACCGTTTAAACTGTCTCTTAAACCTTATATATTAAAATCCTAGGTCATAAGTAAATTAATTTTATTTATTTATTTAAATTATAACTAAAATGTGCTTATTTATTTATTTAAATAATTTATCTTAAAATTATCAACTAAAAATGTGCTATTTATTATTTAAATAATTAAATAAAATAAATTATAATACATATATGTATTATAATTAATTTATTATTTATTAAACTGATTTAGCTTAAATAAATAAATTATAATACATATATTATTATAATTAATTTTATTTATTTATTTTAACTATTTAGTAACTAAATCATAATGAATATATTAGGTTTATTCATAATCTAAAATTTATCTCAATAAATTTTAGACATAAATTAACTAAGTCAATACTTAATAATTTAGGTAAAAATTATAATTAAATATAAATTATAATTTTGCCTTTGATGTCCCAATATTTATTTGTAATCAAATCATACTTGATTCGATTTCTCGTTTTAACTTTTTCATATTCATTCTTATGTGTATGACCTATAGTCTCGGGTCTCTTGAATAGGTAGGCTCAGCACGCTAAGGAAGCTTGGTCTGCTTAGGGCGGTAGAATAGAGAATATAATTAGATGATTTTATCAACAATTTATTTGTGTAGGTGGAGATCCAGTATTTCTGAATCCTTATGTAAGGAATTACAAAAGAAATTCTTTAAAGAAAGACGTGAGTTAGGAAGGATTGCTCGATTAGGTTTCAAATATATTGGCAACAAATATAATTAACTAATTAATATTTAAAGGTCAAGAACATTATCTAGAAATATGTCATAACTATCCAAATATTTGGAAAGTCAATATGGTTTGACTTAACATTTTAGTGCATGATTTATCAGTGTAATTAATATACCTTCATCATTAATGTTCTGATTTAGTAATTAGGCATGGATTGTGTCTACTTTATTTTAATCATGTTAATTCTCTTAATCTTAGTCATTGATCATTTGAATGAGATCATTTGACTGAAGATTTCAAAACCCTAATTTCGCTAATTTCATTCTATCACGCAAGGCATTTCTTAATCAGACTATTTAATAAAGAACAATTAAAAAATATTTTCCCAAAATTTACCTACAAGGTGATGAACCATCTCTTTAATGTTCTGATTTAGTAATTAGGCATGGATTGTGTCTACTTTATTTTAATCATGTTAATTCTCTTAATCTTAGTCATTGATCATTTGAATGAAATTCAAAACCTAATTTGCTAATTTCATTCTATCTTACGCAAGGATTTCTTAATCAATATTAATAAAGAACAATTAAAATATTTTTCCAAATTTACCTAAGGTGATGAACCATCTCTTAATTACACAAGTATCTCCATATAAATCTTACTATGTCCAGTTAATCATTACTTATTATCCGTCAATGAATAATGTGAATGAAGAATCAAAACATAATCATCCCCCGACATGATAGCTTAGTAATTTCAAATCAAAAGATCACTTATACAACCATTACTTAAGTATTCTATAAACACAAGTAATTCTCCATATGTAATTTTTATGTAAGTCAATTCAGTGGATTTGTTTAATTAACAAGCACATGCATATTGGTTCTAGGTATCACATATATCTTAGCTTATGAGAATAATTGCTTCCCTTCACAAGGAAAAATACATAATATGTATTAGTCTCAACAGCTTTAATCATCCTCCATTAATCAGGAGAATATTGACTAGAAATATTTAGAGACATACTTTAATGAAAAATAAATTCATAATTATAACCATATTATAATTTATTTTACAAAACAATATTGTCTCATAAACTTTATCTTTGACCGAAATTCTTTCAGTAGAATATAAAAGATTAAAATATCTTTTATTCATAATTAAATATTTTATTACATAAAGCTAATAAGGAAACTTGGCATCCTCTCTCAGTTTCTCATCTGGGTCCGCTATTATCACATTTATTTTTTATTTGCCAAAGCTTCTTAGACCAAAATAATGTTATTAATAGTGGTTTGGGACTTTTGTCATAGCCCATATTATTTTTGCTTTTATTTCTTTTTAGATTTCTGTTGTACTATAATTACTATAAGTACCTCAAAATTTTATATCTGTCATTTTAGACCAATTTTGTTTCTCAAGTTGATAAATTCTATTTTATTTCAATATCCGATAAAATGTTACGTTATTATTATTATAAATAGTTTCAAAATAACATTGACTTGGAACATATATTTTTCTTTTGCATTATTTTAGTCCTAATACAAATTAGCAAGAGAAATAAATTTACTGGTTACAATTTTTAAAAAACAAATCCTCTAAAATTTTTAATATGCACAACGAGGCCTAAATTAAAAATAATAATTTATTATATTTGATAAAAATAAAATAATTAGACTAAATTAATCGTTTAAATAAAAAATTAAACTCATTTTGACGTTATTATTATGTAACAATAAATCTGGACCGTACAAGTAAAGCTAGCATACTAGTAATATACGCCTAGGATCCTTTCTCCTGCGCTCCAGATCCAACGAAATTTAAAATCGCTGTTCCCTCACCCTTGAATAAAACTAATACGCACACTCTGCTTCTTCATTATTATGAAACCAAATTCAAATTCTCCAACGGCTACATTTCTCTCTCCTCTCTCCCTCTTCTGCTCCTCTTCCTTCGCTGCCTTGCCCAAATCCTACTCTCTCTCTATCTCTCTCTCTCCCCTTCTCTGTTCTCTATAGATTTTTCAAAATGAAGCATTTTATGCAGCCAAGAAACGCCATCTTGAGAGAAGCGCACGCCAATGGAGAGTCATCGCCATTACAATCTGCAAACCCTAGCTGTCATAAATCGAAGCCATCACCACCTCCTCGGAGGCAGAAGTTGTCTAAAGAAAACGCGCCGCCGTCGGATCTGAACTCTACGTCAGTCCCGGAGCAAAAGCCCTCGCCGTCTCCGGCTGCCAAGATGAAGAGTCAGTTGCCGCCTAGGCCTCCTTCTTCTAATCCTCTCAAGAGAAAACTTAGCATGGAAACTGTCCCAGAGAATGCTGTACCTGATTCTGGCGTTAAGGTTGTTATTCATTTTTTTTAATTTAATATTTTAATGCTTTTTTTTGGCTGGTGAGGAAGTGGAAGAAACTAAGGGGGGAAAAGAGCTGATGAATTTTTATATCTTTGTCAATTTAAATTGAATTTTAGGTCTCGTCTTGATAAGCTAAGGGGGGACTGTTTTTTTCAGTTGACTTTTTCTTTCAGGTTTTGCTGTGAATTCTTTGTTATAAATGCTAGTTCAAATGGAATTTTAGGTTTTGTTGTAGTTGTGGAGAAAATTCTTCTTTGAATTCACTTATTTGCTTTGCCAGTACCACTACCTTGTTGTTTTCCTTATATTAGCAACTGGTTAAGAAGAGAAAAGCTCTATTGGTATTGTTCTGATTTCTGACAGCTGAAACTCTCTGCAAATATGAACTATGCTACTATTTCACATAAAAACTGAAATTAAATGAAAGTTTGTTTTTCAGAGAAACCAAGGACAATACTAATATCAGTATGATTTGAGGGGTTTATCTTCTGAAATCCATTTCTGAGATCAATTAGTTGTGGTCTCTTAGCATTAGAATCCTTGTTAATTGTTGTGTTTGTTTTTCTATTTCTTCTTGTTTCAAAAAATCTTAGGTAATTGTGCGAATGCGACCATTAAACAAGGATGAAGAGGAAGGGGAAATGATAGTTCAGAAGGTGTCTGACGATTCTTTGTCAATCAATGGCCAAACATTGACATTTGACTCTGTAGCTGATATAAAATCAACACAGGCAAGATTGCTGTCATTACGTCTCCTGGTAATGTATTGATTGAAGATTTATTTTGGTGAAATTCTCAAAACCCTTTTTGCTTTTCCTATCTTGTTTTCCACAGGTAGACATTTTTGATCTTGTAGGAGCCCCTCTAGTTGAAAATTGTCTGGCTGGATTTAACAGTTCAGTATTTGCCTATGGACAGGTATATTTCACTTTATATTGGTTAACAACTTCATTTTGCTTCACTTTGTCCATGACCGTTTATATTTCACTTTATATTGGTTAAAAACCTCATTTTGCTTCACTTTGTCCATGACCGTTCTCCTAACCTCTTTGGTAAATTGGAAAATTAACTTATTCAGACAGGGAGCGGAAAAACCTACACTATGTGGGGACCTGCGAATGCCCTCTTGGAAGAAAATTTATCCAGTGACCAACAAGGTTTAACCCCCCGTGTTTTTCAGAGACTCTTTGCCCGCATAAATGAGGTAAGGATCACTTTTACTTGTTGCCAGGGATGTTGAGAGTTATTATGTGTTGCAATTATAAATGCTCTTTTGTTTCCCCTCAGGAGCAAATTAAACATGCTGACAAACAACTCAAGTATCAGTGCCGCTGCTCTTTTCTGGAGGTTATGTGCTGTTTAGTTTTGGAGAATTCACTTGTTTAGCCTTAAATTCTGACCTCATGGTTCTTCATTGTTTTTGCAGATTTATAATGAACAAATAACAGATCTGCTGGATCCAAGCCAGCGAAACCTCCAGGTTAGGAAGATCAGATTGGGCATTATATTTCTTGAAATAAACTGGTTTTCTAAGATCCCTTTGTCTGCCACATTGTTGCAGATAAGAGAAGATGTGAAATCTGGTGTCTATGTTGAAAATCTCCGAGAGGAATATGTATTTACAATGAAAGATGTGACTCAGCTTTTGATAAAGGTTGGGTTTTTTACTTTGATTGTGCTATGAAAATCTCAGTTGTAAGTCGGTCTTTGGTGGTGCTGAAAACCGTATATAAGAGAACTTATATAGAGCATCTACAGAAATTTGTTTACCTTTTGTTTGAAATAAAAATACCGAGCTTGTTATGCATACCTTTGGTGATAAATTTAACGTTCCCAAAAAAAATATGTTTAGGTCAATCAGTGTTAACATTCCCATACATGAGTTTAGTGTCCTCATTTCTGTTGCGCAAACACACACACACATGAGTTTAGTTTCCTCATTTCTGTGTTACACACACACACACACACACACACACGGGTTTAGTTTACCTTTTTGTTGAACTAAACATACCGAGCTTGTATGCATATGCACATACGCTCAGGACAGAAGAAAAGAATGGGATCTAATATATTTGATGGCCTAACAGTTATTTGGTGATAAATTTAACATTTCCACAGAAAAAATGTTTAGGTCAGTCGGTGTTAAGAGCATACTCAAACACACGGGTGTTGCATCTCTTATGATGCTAATATATTTTACCTCAGTTTGAGTGTTTAAAGCTTCAAATAAACTCTACTTATATGCTTACAACTGCCAACAAATCACACAGGGTTTGTCGAACAGGAGGACTGGTGCAACTAGTATAAATGCTGAAAGTTCCCGGTCACACAGCGTTTTCACTTGTGTTGTTGAATCCCGATGCAAGGTAAATACTATATCCACATATGCAGTATATTATTTCTCCTTATTAAGCTTTTAAAAAAAAGGAAGGTTTGCCTTGGTTTTATTTCTTTCTAATAGAAGATTGTGAGTGCATTTGTGGGATTCAGTCTTTTACATGCCTCTCTCTCTCTCTCTCTCTCTCTCTATCCCCCTCTCCCTCCCTAGGAAGGGGATTCAGATCTGGATATGTATTATTTCAAAATAGGGATTCATTTGCTGCCTAAGCAATTTGGAATTTTTTGAAGTTTTCCTCTAATATTTATTCTTAGAATACTGAAATTAGAATGCGATCTCACAATGAAAATAACAATTTTAATAAATTCAACTTTTGTTCTATTGTTGGTTTCTGTGCTACATTCCTTGTAGAGCACAGCAGATGGCATAAGCAGCTTAAAAACCAGTAGAATAAATCTTGTTGATCTTGCTGGGTCAGAACGACAGAAGTTAACTGGTGCTGCTGGAGAACGGTTAAAAGAAGCGGGGAATATAAACCGATCTCTGTCGCAGCTTGGGTATGAATCACCTTTCCTTTATGTTTTTGTTTAAGCTTTCTTACAAATTACAGTTGGAAAATCTTCTAGTTTAGATGCAGTATGATGCCAATATTGCTATAAAAACATGTACTTTCCATCTTTCCCTCTATCTCTATTGCTAACTCAGTCTCCTTTGATTTACAATCCTGCGCTATCTTTTTTCCATTACACTAGCCCAGTCATTTTATTCATAACTTTGATATAATAGACATTTAAATCAAGAGATATTCATTTTATTCATTTGCAAGAGAACTTATCATGTAAGCCTTTTGTTCATCATAGAAAACATATGAACATATAAACCATACAGCAAACAATGAACTGAAATTGGCATTGTTTGATAATTACAGTTGTGTTGTGACCATGAATTATCATGAATATGAGTTGAAGTATATTGAAGAAACATTATACCAGAATTGTGAAAGCATAGACTATCAGTTCTTTTTGGTGTCTAAAAGTAATAGTTGTAACTTCTCCTATTCTTTCTGTCTGCTTTGTGATGTCTTCCTATTGATAATCAAAAAAAGGAGTTCAAGCTACTTCTTAGTTGCAATAAGTAGTATGAATAAATTCATATGACCTTGCATCAAAAGAGAGATATCTGTTAATTTTACCCAATTATCGGTGTTACAGGAACTTGATAAACATTCTTGCTGAAGTTTCTCAGACAGGAAAACAAAGACATATACCTTACAGAGATTCCAGGTTGACATTTTTGTTGCAAGAATCTCTTGGTGGCAATGCAAAGTTAGCAATGGTGTGTGCTGTTTCCCCAGCACAAAGGTAACACTGCTGGCCATGCCATCTTTTCACAACCTCCCTTAATCTCTCTTTTTCTCATAATGGCTGTTCTTGTCATCAATTATACAGTTGTAAGAGTGAAACTTTCAGTACACTGCGATTTGCACAGCGTGCAAAGGCAATCAAGAACAAGGCAGTTGTTAATGAAGAGATGGAGGATGATGTGAATCACTTGCGAGAAGTAATCCGGCAGCTAAGGGTAGACTCTTATTTTTGTTTACTGTTATTAATCAGATTGTTTCAACAATTTCAAATTTAAAACAGATTTATAAGAAAAAACGGATTATGAATGCTTCAGGATGAATTACATAGAGTGAAGGCCAATAGCAACAATTCAACAGGTTGGGATCCTCGTAAAAGTTTGAATATATTGAAAAGTCTTATTCATCCGCATTCACGACTACCTCAATTAGATGAGGATGGTGATGAGGAGATGGAAATTGATGAGGAAGCTGTTGAAAAACTCTGCATTGAAGTAGGATTGCCACCAGCAAGTGCTGGAGATTGCAATATTGTTGATGAAAGTAGGTGTACCATGGGACAGGGTCCTGAGGATACTGATGTTGATATGGAAGAAGGCATATCTGAACAAGCTGAGAAACATGAAATTATGACTGTTGATTGTGCTGACCCTGTTAAGAATGAATTTTGTTACAATGTTAATGACAAGGAACCAGATCATATACCTGTTGATCCAATTGATGCAGAGTCCTCTGGAAAATCCCCCAAGGAGAACAAGGATCTTAGCTCCTCAATCAGTAAATTGTTAACTGAAGAATCACAAAGCAAAATGGTGGATATTCGTACTTCATGCGTAGTGTCTGATTCTCAAACTGGACTTTCTACAGGAGTTGTAGTAGCAAGTGAAGCAAATGATTCTCAAAATGATGCAGTGAATGGTGTATCACCTTCTAACCTTAGTATAGTCCCATGTGAAATATCACCAGTTCTTAAATCTCCAACTCCAAGTGTTTCACCCAGGATTAGCAGCAGCAGGAAAAGTCTGCGGACTTCATCAATGTTAACAGCTTCTCAAAAAGATCTTAAGGATGAAAAATCAAACACAGAGGATGTACGCTTATCTTTTGCCAAGAAAAGAAGCTCCTCTAACGCTCTGGCTGCTCAGACTAGTAAAAGTTTTCTTGCACCAACAGAACATTTAGCAGCTAGCCTTCACCGGGGCTTGGAAATTATTGATATTCACCGCAAGAGTTCTGTATTCAGGCGATCATCCTTTAGGTTTTCTTGTAAACCTGCAGAATTGAAGCCAATTTCACTGGTTGAAAAAGTTGATGCTGGTGTGCAAACTTTTCTTCAAGATTATGACTTACAAGAAGAAGATGCAGGGGTATTTTTTTGTAAGAGTTGCAAGAACAAGAAAGCACTGGAGGAAAAAGACAACGATGACAGCTCAAACTTGCAGTTAGTACCTATTGATGGTTCAGAGTCTGCTGATAAATCCAAAAAACAAGTTCCCAAAGTAAGTTTGCTTGATATTTAGTTATGTGATCGGATATCTCTATTAATATTGTACCACGTACTTGACATTGTTGTTCATATTTCTAAACAGGCAGTGGAGAAAGTGTTGGCAGGAGCCATCCGTAGAGAAATGGCTTTGGAGGAGTTTTGTGCCAAACAAACTTCTGAGATAATGCAGCTTAACCGTTTGGTAGGTTGCTATTTTATCCAACAACCCAAAATGGATTTTAATTATCTTTAACAGATGTGCTGACTACCTGGCCTATATTTACAGGTGCAACAGTACAAGCATGAGAGGGAATGCAATGCCATAATAGGGGAGACAAGGGAGGACAAAATTCTTCGGCTTGAGAGCCTTATGGATGGTGTTTTGCCCACGGAGGAGTTCATGGAGGAAGAGCTAGCATCACTTATGCATGAACATAAGGTTTGAATTTGTTTCTTAAGCTTCCCCTGCTCACTAATTTCCAGTTTACATGTATCTAAAATGATTTTTTACAGCTTTTGAGGGAGAAATATGAGAATCATCCTGAAGTTCTAAGAACTAATATTGAGCTGAAAAGAGCTCAAGAGGAGTTAGAAAATTATCGAAATTTCTATGATTTGGGAGAAAGAGAAGTTTTGTTGGAAGAGATTCAAGATTTAAGAAACCAATTGCAGTACTATGTTGACTCTTCATCCGCGTCTGCATTAAAAAGAAATTCAATATTGAAATTGACCTATTCATGCGAGCCTACTGTGGCTCCTCTTCTTAGTACAATTCAAGAGGCAACTGAGGAGAGCCCAGAAGTAAAGTTTCAAGAAGAAAGAATGCGCTGGACTGAGGCAGAGAGCAAGTGGATTTCTCTTGCTGAAGAATTGAGAACAGAACTCGATGCTAGCAGGTTGCTAGCTGAAAAAAGGAGGCAGGAATTAGAGACAGAGAAGAAATGTGCAGAAGAGTTAAAGGAAGCAATGCAAATGGCCATGGAGGGACATGCACGCATGCTTGAGCAGTATGCAGATCTTGAGGAAAAACATATTCAATTACTTGCACGGCACAGGAAGATCCAGGATGGAATAGATGATGTCAAGAAAGCTGCTTCTAGAGCTGGTGTCAGGGGTGCTGAGTCTAAGTTTATAAATGCCCTCGCTGCGGAAATTTCAGCATTGAAAGTGGAAAGAGAGAAAGAGAGGCGATATCTTAGAGATGAAAATAAAGCTCTTCAGTCTCAGTTGAGGGATACTGCCGAGGCTGTACAAGCTGCAAGCGAATTACTAGTGAGGCTGAAAGAAGCAGAAGAAGCCGTTGCTGTTGCACAGGTTGGTTATTTCATAATTGTCCTAGTTTTGATTCCATGTAATGTTAGTTTGAACTGAAGAAGTTTGGTAATTGTTTCTGTTACATATTGCAAGTCCTGTATACTCATAGCATTCATTTGTGAGTATATTTGATTAAAGAGAAAGATGGGGGAAGGGAAACTGGAAGGGTTGGAAAGTAGGTGAGGAGTCATTTTACTTTGTCTGGAAAGTGCAGAGAAAATGAGAGGAAATGAGAACCGAGAGAATAGTTATCCAAGTTTTAATTCCTTGTTATTTTGGTTTGATCTGAAGAAGTCGGTGATTGTTTCAGTTACATATTGCAAGTCCTGTATACTCATAGCATTCATTTGTGAGTATTATATGTGATTAAAGGGAAAGTTGGGGGGAACTGGAGGATGGAAAGTAGGTGAGGAAAGTCATTTTACTTTGTCTGGAAAGTGCAGAGAAAATGAGAGGGAAATGAGAACCCAGAGAATAATTCAAAATTCTTGTTGGCTTACCTCTAAAATGTAATTTCAAAAATTTTCTCCAGCTTCTTTCCTTTTAGTTTTTCTCTTACCAATTTTCTACCCTCGTTTTTTCTCCTCAGATTCTTGCAAGTTGTTAATTACAAAATCAACACTTGGCTGTCAATTATTGGTGCATGTTGGTTATGTTGTTTATTCTCATTTCCCTTTACTTAATATTCTTACTTTATATATTTACTTGTTTTTGTAGAAGCGAGCAATGGATGCAGAAAGAGCATCTGCAAAGGCATATAAACAGATTGATGAATTGAAGAAAAAACATGAAATTGCAATAAACACCCGTAATGAGCTCCTTGCAGAGTCTCGTCTACCCAAAGAAGCAATACGACCTGCTTACAGTGACGATGAAACAGCCAAGTATGATGCAGGTGAACCGCTGAGTGAAGGCGAGCGATGGAGAGAAGAATTTGAGCCATTTTATAACAATGGCGAATATAGTGAGTTGTCAAAACTTGCAGAACCATCTTCGTGGTTTTCTGGGTATGATAGATGCAACATATAGAGAGATGAACACTTAGCATCAATATTGTGTATGTATTTACTAACAATTCTGTGAAATAGCTCTGGAGGTGTAGCTTTTTTGCTGTTTTATCTAAGGCGATAATAGTTCTCACCATTTGTCAGGACCAATCTCTTTGGTTCTCTTTTTGAGTCTTGTATTCAAATTCTGATTGTTGCAGTTCATAAGAGTTGAATGAATTATATTCTTTTATTCATGCCTACTTGCACGAATCAAAACTTCGATCTCTCAGCTATTCCCCCCAACCCACTGCCTTTTCTCCCCATTTTGATGTAGCCATTGTTTTCTTAGCAAACAAATGGATCATGCAGGTATATTTGAAAATTCGTGGATAAGCCACAAAACATTATGATAGCTATCGCAGGTTTCGCGTTATATATGTTAGTTTTGAAAAGGCATATGTACATTTTAAGTTGCAGAGAAGGATATGGACATTTTAGTGCAACTGTGTCCATGTAGTGAAAATGTAATAATCAAGATTAATAAAGGGTGATCTCATGCACGAAGCAGTCATATTTATGGCATGAGATGAGGATTGAAATACACAATCTTCTCATGTTTTTATAAAGAAACTGTTTCCATGGCTCAAACTCATCACCTCCAAATAATAAATAGAGTAACTTTATCGTAATATTAAAATCTAGATAAAAAATGATGCTATGTGATTATATTTAGAAAAATTACAGTATCTATTATGCTAATGTTTCACTTTGCATCAATTCATTATTATGATTATGTTGATTCTCTACATTAAAGCCTATATTTATATAATGGCATGAGATGAGGATTGAAATACACAATCTTCTCATGTTTTTATAAAGAAACTGTTTCCATGGCTCAAACTCATCACCTCCAAATAATAAATAGAGTAACTTTATCGTAATATTAAAATCTAGATAAAAAATGATGCTATGTGATTATATTTAGAAAAATTACAGTATCTATTATGCTAATGTTTCACTTTGCATCAATTCATTATTATGATTATGTTGATTCTCTACATTAAAGCCTATATTTATATATTAGGACCATGGTCCATACTTGAGCACATGCACAAGACACTAGCATTGACACATTACATACCCATATACCATACATTTGATGTTAGGTTGGGAATAGAAGAAAAGGAGGAGAAGTACTATTTTGAATAAAGGGTGTTTGGATGTAGTAATGGATATGGTGGACCCACTTGTATAAAAGACAATGGTCCTAAAGAAAAAGATCTGAAGGAAGTAATGGAGATGTATTGAAGTTTAGATCATTTATTTGTTTGGTTTGGGTGTTAAGAGGATAGGAAGCAATCTTCAAGTGGATCAGAGAAGTATGTCTATGGACCATCTAAGTTGTAATTCAGACAGTCCACAAGTTGTTTGGCAGCCTTCTATCTTAGAAAATAAGTCTATCATTTTTTGGAGACCATAAAACATGAAGCTTGTGGTCTTGTCTTCTTTGCCTTGAATTTGTACATGCTCATTGGACCATTTGTAATTACTGAGGCATTTCTATTTAGAGTTATTGTTGGCTTTATATTTGAGGTTGAAACTTTTTTTTATTTTTGGTGCAAAAAACTACTATTTTAATCAAATTATTCTAGAAAAAAAATTTGGGAAAGTTGGTTTAAAGTTTTATGCAAAATTAAGCTTGAAAATAAACTTTGGTAGGCACATTCTGTATGCATCGAGGAATAACAAATGATGCACGTTAGATAGGGATATATTAAGAATTCAATAACAAATGATCTTTAAAAAAAAAAATAAATACTACATTAAATGTACGTTAAAAGGCACATCCTTTAAATCTTAGATGTACATTAAATATGAGTATATTAAAAATTCAATAAAAAATGATCTTTAAAATATATATATATATATATATATTTGAAAACAGACGAAAAAGGAAATTAAATTGCAAAATAACTTCATAGTATCATTTAAAAGATCATAAAAGAAATTAATTCACATAAGCCGAGAGACAGTGAAACTTATAAGTCAGTCGTCACAAAATAGCTTCATAGTAAATATAAGAAATTTAAGTATTTTTCTAAGTCTGAAAAAGTGTTGACTTCAAAATAAATTTCAATATCTTTGATAAATATTTTTAACACAATGTTTTCTCATAAGCAAATTAAGTAGCAATGTCAAACATACTCTTAATCAGAAGATAAAATTAAAACTAGCAGTCATTACATACAATTTTAGAAGAGGGAAAAGGGTTAGAAAGTGACACTTTTAGAGGCAATACAAGTGGGAAAGAAACAGGAAGAGGTACCATTTCTGTTTGGCTACTTGGAAAACAAAAACTAGGACTAAAGAATTTCTAAAACATCTGAATGGCTTCAACAAACTTGACTTTGAAAATTTGAGTTTGAGTGAGTCAATTCTATTCACTGTGAAAACTTTTTAGGTATCCTCAAAAGTAGCTTTGAATTGAAGGATTGTATAACATAGAGAAAATAGGTGTAGTGAAACAAAATGATGCACAAGTACTTGATAGCTTATGTTTTAATTTCTACTAAAAAGTTAATTGTTCTTGAAGTGAAAGACAGACATATAGAGAGAGAGAGAGAGAGAGAGAGAGAGCAGTTAGAAACAAGAGAGTAGAAAGAAAGAGTGACAGCCTGGTAATTGGACCCCCTTCTAATCATCATTAATTATAACCCTACAATGCAAACATATTCCATCAATCTCTCCTAATCACATATCCTAACTGTGGGTCCCGGCCCATTTCATCGTCATTACCGGAGTTACTCATGGAAGATCTTCTTCTTCTTCTTCTTCTTCTTCTTCTTCTAGATGAAATGAAATGAAATGAAACAGAAACTCCTATGATTTTTTACCTTCTACTTTTTACCTTTTATATGGTAGCTTTGCTTCAAATTGGGTTTGTTACTTTTACATTTTTTACTGCTCATGTAAAAATGGAGAAGAATGTCATAATCACTCTTTTGGTAATAGTCTTTCAAAAGTTAAGAATATGACAGGAATAGCAAAGGGTCACTTCGTTGATTAAAATTTTCAAGATTTTGATTTCAAGTTTCAATCTTTTGTTCTTTTATATATATATATATTTTGATTTCAAGTTTTCAATTCTTTTGTTCTTTTAATATAATATATTATATTGTATAATATATTAAAATATTACTATAAATATAAAATATTACTATAACTTAACTTTTAGCAGTTAATGTCAACATAATTAGCAGTAAAATTATTTTGGTACTTGGTGGTTGTTGCTGACAGTTAATAGCTAGTTGTTAAATAATTAAATACATATCATTTAGTAAAAATTTTTAGCAATGTCCCTCATCAAATGTAAAATCACCATCTTGTTACCAAAAATTCTTAAAAGTGTCATTTCAGTTTGTCTCAGGACCTCCATCAGAGATACACTAATCGATCTCCATTACCAATACTTCTCTAATTTAAGTGTTAATAAGTTGAATTTAGCAATAAAAATCTAAAAATTTCAATCGAATCTAATTAAATCAAATCAAACCGTTTTGATTTTGATTTAAAATTTTAGAAGATTAAAGTTTTTTGGATTGAGTTTTGTCAAAGCATATAATAATTTAATTTTGACTAAATAAAGAGGAAATATTTGGATTTAATTGGATCTGACAATTTGGTGTATCCAATCAGATTGCTAAGACATCACTTTCTATGAGATACGCCCGATAATTCAGGCACAAATTTACAAAACTCTTTTTTTTTTTTTTTTATTCCTACTAATTACATTTCACTATTTAATATACAAAACTCATTTTTGGCTATTTCTCCATCAATGGAGCTATTTGCCTATTCCCCAATAAAGCTGAAGAAGCCATTTTTTCTTTTTTTTTTTCTTTTTTTTGGCAATTTAACAAATGTTATATATGAAATTTCAATTTTAATAAAATATCAGAAAAAAAAAATACATAGAGTATATTATATCACTGTATACCTTGACCGATGATTCATAAATACGTACTAATTTGAATATTTTTAAAACTGATTTTTATTATTGGGTTATCAGCTATGATACCCATGCATTTTGCACATTGAACGGATTAAATTTACTACATATTTTATAAATTTACTGTGTTAAAAGAAATGATGTTTTTATGGATTTTAAACTTCTATTTTTAAATATTAGAAAATTTTGATATGAGTGTTTTTTTAGTACAGAACAAGAAAGGATAAAAGTTACTCCAGTTAATTAACTTAATTTATTAATTTGTAAAAAATCAAGACAAGTTTAGGGATTAAATTAGCTCAAAATATCAAATTTTGACATTTTCAATTATTTTAAATAAGTTTAAGGGCTAAATTGACCGCAAATGTCAAATCTAACCTCAACCTTTTTATTCCTGTGAAACAAATTCAAGAGTCAAATTGGGGTTTATTCCTTTATAAAATTATGCATATTCTATACTTTTAAGTGTTGAATTATAAAATTGTATTTATTGAACATGGCTTTTAATATTTTTCAATTACCTAATAGAAATTTAGTACATGTAATTCTTTATGTATTTTTGAACATTAATTATTAAATAACTATCTTCATTTGTTTTTTAATTATCTGATAAACATTTAATTGCTGCAATTTTATAAATTAAAATATTTAATAAAATAATTTTATTAGTAAAAATAATCAAATCAAAAGTAAAAATAAAGGATATCATTAAACTTTTTGTATATAGAATTCAGTCACCAATTAATATATTTGACCAAAAAAATTTCATTTCCTGATTTATTATTTTTAAAAATTTTCCATTTTCAATCGTTTGCTTTCATTATCTAAAGAAAAACAAAAGTTGTTTAAAAGGTTTAAAACTTGGATTTTGTTCATAAAAAAGTTGTCTATAGATAATCTATCTACATTTGACTTCCACTACTTTATTCTTCCACTTATCCACTACTATATATATATATATATTTATTTATTACTTTCATTCTTCCACTTTATCCACTCTATATTATTAATAATATATAATATTTATTTATTTATTATATTATTTTATTTATTCAAAAACTCACATTACATAAAAATTTAAATATTTATTTATTTATTTATCAAACTCACATACATAAAGTGGATGGGGTCATTCTTAAGTTCACTACTCCACTAATGCCAACATGCGCATTTGATGCTCTCCAAATTACAATGTAATTGCATATATTCAAATTTTAGTTAAAAAAAAGTAAAATATTGAAAAATATTTTGATAATGTTATTATTAGAAAAATTGAAAAACTAAAATTAAAAAGAAAAAATAATAATCATGCCATAATTTAAAATAGAGGCTTTTGGTAAGAATTTTAATCAACAACTCATAGTAGATAAAGTTTCAATTAGCTGCATTTTGGAGTTTTTTTTTTTTATGAGCAACCGATTAATTTGTATTTGTATTATATTTAGAAGATGTTTGATTTAGCTTATTTATACAGCTGATAGTTAATTTATATCTAACAATTAAGTTGTAAATATTTAATAAACTTTTTAGTTAGCTGCTGAAAGCTTATAAAAATCTCAATCGATTGTTGATTGTATTTAGAGTTGTTTCGTATCAGCTGGTAATTGATTTATATTTCTATAATATTTTTGACTTTATTAACCTCATAAAAATAATTATTAATAGTTTTTTTGTTTAAAATAATATTTTTTATAATCAGTTTATTTATATTTATTTAAAAATAAAAATTATTAAATACAATTTAAAATTTTTAATTAATATTCTTATTTACATAATACATTAAAAGAAAAAATAATATAATCGCCTTAAATATATATATATATTACACATCATAATATATAAAAATAATTAAAATAATATTTTTTATAATCAGTTTATTTATATTTATTTAAAAATAAAAATTATTAAATACAATTTAAAATTTTTAATTAATATTCTTATTTACATAATACATTAAAAGAAAAAATAATATAATCGCCTTAAATATATATATATATTACACATCATAATATATAAAAATAATTATGTTTTTAATAACTATTTCACATTTTAACAGTAACTGCTACTAAAACTTTACTAAACATGATTATTTATCAGCTAACAGCTATCAGTCAACAGTCACCAGCTATCCGTTATAGTTAATATGAACCGTCAAACCAAATGGGTCTTTAAACTCTATTAACATTATAAAATCAATAATTACTAAAACTATATCTTTTTCAAATCAATAATTTTATATGATTATTCTATATATAATTATTGAAAAGTAACAAATAATAGTTTTTATTTATATAATACTTAAAATAAAAAATAATATATTTACCTTAAAAATAAAAGTATATATAATATATAATAATTTATGAAAATAATTATACCCTTAATAATTATTTTACATATCAATAGTTGCCACTAAAATTTTACCAAACAACTAGCATTCATTAGTTATTAGCTATCAGCCACCAATTATCAACAAATACCGTCAGTCATCAACCATCAGCTACTAATCAAACAAGCTCTTAGATTTTACCATATTCCATATACATATAAGGATTGTTTGAAAAATTATTAATTAAACAAAGGCTCTGTTCGACAAGAGTGTTTAGAGTTTTGACTACGTCAAAATACTATTTTGATGTATTACATTGTTCGGTGAAGTAATTTATAAAATAGGTTTTAGTGAATAATATAGCGTTTAGTAAAACGTTATCCCACCTAACATTTAGCATTTTATTTTTTTTTTTTTATTGAAAATTTATTGAAGTCTTACTCTTAATTTAAAACTCTTTTTGTTATTTCAACTGTCTCATTTTCCAACTATATGCATCAATCCCTTCCTCAATTAGCTACATATCAAGGAGTAATTAAACTATTCAAAACCTGGTTGTTATACTACTGTAACGATACCTTCTTTTATTCTCATTCCTATAATATTTCTCCTGCCATAAATGTTAAAATCTCATTTATTTTCATTCCTATAATATTTCTCTTACCATAACACATCACATAATCATCTCTTTTTTTATTATATTGAGTTCACTTCTATAGTTATATAACTTAAAAATTCGAATTCAATATTCAAATGTCCTTATTGTCATTTAAATTTAGCAACTAATCAAACAGCTATTTTTATTGAACACTTTTGCTCTAAACAGCCCAAACAGCTATTAAAACAACTAACAGCTAATATTGTCGAACATGCCCAAATTCATTTCACTTTCTTATAATAGTTTTATTTCACAAAAATATAATAATTCAGTACTTCTAAACTAATAATTTTCATGAAAAATTACTTTTTTAAGAAAGTAATTTTTATATAAGAATTTTGAATTTAATAATCAAACATTTTACAAGTGTTCTGAAAATAAAAATAGTAAATAAACCTAATGGAAAATTGGATCGGTGGAAGTGAATTATATATCTAGGCCAATTTTACCTGGATTTCACGTCAACTTTATAGTTTTTTTTGCAATTTCACTCTATTTTGATATTTTTATCAAGTTTACTCCAATTTGACTTTTTGTAGCAGTAGCACCCTCATTCTAATCAAGACCGAATTGCAAAAGAAAAAAAAAAAAAGAAGTATTCTCATGCTTTTTAAAAAAAATAATAATAATAAAAATAAAATTTTAAATATCAAATTATATTCACATTTAGTTGATATCACATTTATTGATTTAGAAATATTGAAGAATTAATATTTTTTAAATAAACAATAATTTTTCCGTGTTATCAATCCAAAAAATTACTATAATTAAGATTTTTCATCCTTGAAATATAGACGATATAAAATAAAATACATAAATAAAAATTATATTTTATTAATTTAATTTTTATGTCATGCTTGAAATTTTGAGTAATAGAAACTTATATTATTAAATTATTATTTAGTTGTGCAATATTATTTGTTCAGAATAATGAAATTTTTTCAAATTTTTCAATATTTAAAATTTTATAAAAATCATTTGATGATTTTGAATAGTGAAAATACTTTATTATTTGCAATTTCGTATTTAATTGAGTGGATTTGGTAAATAAGTAGTGAAATGCATTCCAGCTAAAATTATGAAGAGAGAAAAGTGTCCCCACTTAACAGCTGGTTGCAAGTAAGAATCTATTTTCCCACAACTCACGCGATTTTATGTTAATTTACATATTAATATATAATATATCATTATCATTCAAATTACATGGCCCCACCACCTTTTTTTTTTCCAGCTATTTTCGAAAGCAATGTTTAGATCCATCATTTTCACTTTCTGTCCCTCTTTTTCTCTCAATCAATCACTATAATTTCTAGTTAACCGTTGCTTATTTTATTATTTGCTATACAAAATATCCAAACTTTTTTGGTTCGATTTGGTTTGATTTTTAAGGATTCGATTAGGTTCTAATTTTAATGGAAATAAAAGTTTAATTATTTATTCAAGTTTGATTTGAACTGAATTGACAAAACACTCCCTCTTAATTTTATTTTTCAAGTTGTAAACACAAGGTTAAAGCAAGAAGATAAAAGAAAAATAATAATAGTAATTATTATAAATATCAAATATTAATATTAGTTGCAAATTGCAATTAGTTGTAGATTTTACAATGTGGTTCTTTGTAATAAGAATTTCTCCAAAGAATTAGTTGCATGAATCACATAGAGATAAATTTTAAATAGTAAAAACTGAAAAAAATTAAAAAAGAAAAAAGAAAAATCTACTCTTTCTTCAAATCTAAGAGATTAATCCAAACTACAACTTGGATGATGTATATACAGAGCCCTCTGTTGTTTCATAATATCATAGCTCAACTTTCATATGACCTGCTGCACAAAAACCAATAGAGGATTTTAGAAAACTTTCATCAAAGGGCATGTTTGGTTTGCTCCATAATTGGAAATGAGATGCAGATCAACCAAACAAATCCCAAGTTTATACTCTCTAACTTCAATTTTCATACTCACCATGTTGATTCTGGGAAAATCCCATTTGCACAAAACTCTGGAGATCATCCTCCCAAAATGGTGATACCTGAAAATAAAAATGCAAGTAGCAAATTTTCAATTTTCCATTTTAAAAGAATAAATTTCAACCTCAATGCCAGACATATGAATATAGCATTTGCTTTGTCAATTACCTGGCAAGTTCCATCACCAAATCCATCAAGTGGAGGCAACTGCACACTTTGATTTAGCCGCAACGCAGAAACATTTAAAGGGTTCATTGAGAATTGAGTTTCTGCATTACTAGACATGATGCCGCTGGAATTGGGTAGGGCTACTCCTTGCTGGGATTGGTAACCATAAGGCAATCCTAAAGCAGCAGAGGAATCCAATGGATGAACACTATGTGACATAGATCCTCGCGATTGAAAAATCTGCATAATTTCATGATTTTGGTTGGTTTTAAGATTTTCTGACGAAAACAACTTCAACAGAACAAATACAAACTATGGAAAAATGTCTATAACTTCCCCACCAGGACCTAATCAATATATTCTCTAGTCATGGATTTTAGCTCAGTAGTTTACACTAAAAATTCTTTTGATTACATTACGTTACATTCTGTTAAGGCTTGAAAACCATAATATAAGGTATCAGAATTCCATAACTAATTAGTCAAAGCCAAATTGGAAAAAAACAATTATAAAAAGAAAAAACTTACATCCTTGGACAAAATAGCTTCCATGTTAAAATCCATTCTTGGATTGACAGTAGCCAACTTCATTGATAGAAACTACAAATGACATCAATAAATAGAATTTCAATTCCAATTCCAAGTTAAAACTAATAAAGAGAATGGTTTGGCAAATTCTGAAAATTACCTCAACTTGGCGCTGCAATGACTGCACATAATTTATGATCTCATCAAGCATAACAGCTTTCCCTGTCACCTTATTGCAACCAGGAACAAGATCCTGAAGGAATTTCATTCTTTCACTAATTTTCTCTCGCCGAACCTAAACGAAAAAGAATTGAACAGTAAGGAAATGCAAATACTAAAAATAGAAAAAGACAGACACAATTTGATGAAATGAAAATCCTTACTCTTTCAGCTAGGCTATGGCTATCAGTAGCCTGACCTCTCCTTGCTCTAACATGGATATAATCCTTTGGTGGCTCTGCTGCTTTTGGATTTGGATTTTCCTTATTATTACTATTCTGCTTCTGCTTCCCATTTTCTTCTTCTTCTTTAGCCTTTGCACACCCATTTCCTTCCTCTGATTTGCTTCTTTTTGCACTTTGTTCTTCCTTCTCTGCAACGACAACCTGAAATTCAAAACAGAATACTTTATTTTACTAATTCTCCAACAGGAATGTATTTTTCTTTATTTATTTATTTCCCCTGCTTTACCTTAGCTTCAGAAGGAGGAGGAGTTTCTTTAGCTTTTCCTTTAGGGATTGCTTTCCTTTTCCTAGCATTGGAATTGGAATCGTTATTCTGGGATTTCATTCGCAATTCCCCACCTGGGATTTGCTCAGATAAAGAAGATTCCTCTCTAGAATCTCCAAAATCTGCATTATCAGAATTTGAATTCCCATCCACCTTAAACCCATTACCCTTCATTTGCTCATTTAGGGCTCCTCCAAAGAAAGAAAACTTAGCCGCCCTCTCTACAAATCCAGGGTCAGCTGGGAATTGAGCTAAACTTGGATGATTTCCTAACAATGAAGAAATATTAAGTTTTGGAGGTGAATTCAATGGGGTAGTATAACATGAAGTATTAGTACTATTATTATTATTGTTAATATAAGATTGTGGAGAAGAAATTTCTCCAGAATTACAAATATTTCCTAATCTTCCGATCAATTCTCTTATCATAACTTGGTCCCCATTACTGGTAGGAATTGAAGTTGTCACAGGAGATGATACAATAGAACTCAAAGCAGACTCAAAGGGATCGCTCTGATCCATTGAATTTTCCCAATTGGGATTTAAAAAACAATTGGGTTGGATTTCAATTCCAAAATTGCAAGAATTCCAGGTTGCTGCTGCTGCTGTTGTGCTGTTTGGTTCTTTACTAGTGAAGAGAAATTCCTTTTCCATGAGAAATGAATCAAGAAGAGAGAAAAGAAATCCTGGAGTGAATCTAAGAAAAGTTGGGGACCCAAATGGAGAATTGAAGTTAGAAACAAGAATCAAGAAAGAAAGTTAAAAGGAAAAAAAATTTAAGTCTGTTGAGTAATTGGTTTCTTGTTATAGAACATATAAGGTAGCAAAGATTATAGAAAGAGCTAAAGCCAAAAGGGACATGTAATTATTATGGTAGAGTTCTTGGATTTTACTCAATTGAAAATTTTTTTTATTAAATAAAAATTATAAAAGAAAAAGAAAAGTTAAATAATAAAAAGGAGGAAAGGAAAAGAAAAAGAAAATGGAGGAAAGTAGAGAGGAAGCAAGAGAGAGAGAGATGGAAATGTCTGTTTGACCTTTTTTTTTTTATAAACTTAATTAATAAATTTTTTGTAAATTACAAAATTAAATATTCGTATATCATTATTAGAAAATTCTGTGCCTTGAACTCCGCAAAAGACGGTGGTAATGCCGGGCCTTCAACGTCAAACTAGCTTCGTGTCTCCTCTCTAGTCCTGAGTCATGACCTGAGTGAGACTGACTGACTTTCTTTTTTTTTTAAATCGAAATTAATTTTTTGTGTAAAAACTAAAAAAGGGAAAATCAGCCAACAAGAGAAGTTACCCTCCCTTATTTTTAAAATAATAATTTAAATATTTCAAGATGGATATGGGACTATACATATTTAAAATAACCAGTCACCTATCCGGAGATGTATTATTTTTTATTTTTTAATTAAATTGAATGTGATTTTTAAAAAATTTATTATTATTTATATTCATGTTGTTTTAATTTAAATAACTTATTTATTTATTTTTAATTAAAAAATAAAAAGTAAGATTGTAATTTTTTTTTTAAATTCTCAAATAATAAATTAAAATATTAATTAGCATAATTAATTATTATGAATAAATTATTATAATTCAACTGATATAGTTAATTAATTTTTTTTCTTTAGAATTTAGTGTATTCAAATTAGATGAAGTATAAGAATAATTAATTTTAGTGAAATAAATTTTAGTGCATGAAAATTAATATTTTAATTCTATTTATTAATGTAAGTATATTATTTAATTAATTTTTATTAACTGTGACTCTATTATAATTTCATTAGTTTTTTTATAAAAAGACTATTTAATAAAAATTTAATATTTATTAAACTAAAAAATATTAATTATAATCAAACCATCTATTAGATTTATTAGTTTGTAACTCCATTATTGTAAAAAATTTAATTTTTAATAAATGCAAAAGATATTAATTATAAAGAAAATAAATGCCACGTCATCAGTTTTATATCTAATATGGTGTCCATATTTAGGCCTTAGAAATCATATATATATATATATGATAATTTTATAAAGATTTTACATTTAATATTATATAAGTTGACTTGAAAATATTAATTATAAATACTTAAAAAGAATAAAAAATAAAATTTAGGTCATACAGATTATATAACATAATCTCATACCTCAAACTATTAAAAGAAATTTTACACACCAACATATAGCCTAATAATAAATGTATATATCACTCAACATTATATTCAGGTTCAAATCTCCGTTTTCCAACACTAAAAAAAAAAAATCACTTAAAAATATAGTCAGTTAAAGTTTATTTATTTATATTTTTTTTCAATTTTTAAGTGTGTCGTTATGAGATAGTTAGAATAAATATTTAAATATCAATTGAACTTAGATGGGAGCTTTTGTTTTTCATCAATCAAAATTGGAATTTATGTCAGATTCCTCCAGAGAATTCAACTTCAATTTACATGAGTTGATTTGAAATATATTAAAGAATTATTTTATTTTATTTTGGTTCATATCTTAAAGAATTATTCAATACTATAAATATAAAGATAATATAAATAGTGTAATTGGAAAAGAAAATTTAGAATGTAATTTTATATTTATAAGATGGTGCTAAAAGGAAAAAGCACAGTAAGATGAAAGATGGCAGTTTGTGGACTCAGTTGGCACAAAACACTGGCACTGTTTTTGTTGTCATATGATATTTGCTCATCAATGATTAGGGTGAAATAGATTTTCTAATCTTATTTAATATTATGGTTTTTTTTTTTAAATCCTTTCCCCCCAAGTAGTTGTTAGGTCTAATGTGAAATGATGATGCCTCCAGATCTAAAATTATTTTAAAATGGTTATTCCCTTTTAAAATAATAATAATTTATATATATAATAATAATTTATTATCATATAATCTAATAGTAAGTGCATACGATAGATTTAAATTTGAATTGACTGTCTACCGTTAACAAAAATATAATAATTTAATAAAAAAATAAATTGTATTATTTTCTAATATTTATATTATGTTGGATCGGGTAAGGTTTCCCAATTACTTATACAGGCCCATTAACCCAACTCTTGTTGCTGTTTGCACATTTAGACTTAAGCCCTTTGCTACAATTAATTATTACAAATTATTATTAGTGTGAATTTTTGCTTTAATTCCTATAACCTTTAGAAGTAAAATGATTAAGAGAATAAATTTTACGTATATTATGATTGAGATTTTTCTAAATAAGAAAAATTATTATTTATGGTTGGATTTTAAAAATTAAATTCAGTCAATAAAAATAGAAAATAAATTTATTCATCAACTGAGTTAATTTTTAAGATTATAATTTAACATGCACAGTTAAAAAAAATTAAAACTTTTCCATAATAGACTCGAGAATTTTAATTTTAAGTGAAATTTAAATTTATGTACTAAATTCTATTTCATTCTTGCCTCATACGGTTTAAAATTGAAATAGGTCAAAGTTTTTTTATTTGGATAATTTTAATAAAAAAAAAAAAAAAACCTAAAGTTATTTGTGGAAATTAGATCGATCTGGTTGGAATCCGTATTGAAACTCCATTGAGATTAGAATCAAAACATCCGGTTCCAAGCCCTACCAACGTGGAACTATTTATTCATCAAAGTAACCATGTTATACTGTAGAATTGGTATATCCCTAGCAAAAATATACATATTAGAATTTAGAAATCGTTGAATGAATACCGATATAATTTTAAAATTCAAATTAGACTCTGTAGTTACTTATCTTTATAATGAACTCAAAAGTGAATTAGGAATAGAATTCCTAATTGATTTCTCTACCGTAATAAAACAGTAATTAAAATAATTATTTATCTAGAAATTAGGACTCAAATTGATAACCCTTCCTTTCACGAATTGGATGGAAAAAATCTGTGTCCTTGTACAAGTTTGAACCTACCTCAAGTTTTCATTTTTTTTTTTTTTTTTTTTTTAATTAACAAATAATTATTTATCTAAGAAATTAGGACTCAAATTGATAAACCCTTCCTTTCACGAATTGGATGGAAAAAATCTGTTCCTTTTACATGTTTGAACCTAACCTTTTTTTTTTTTTTTTTTTTTTATGAGCTTATTTACGTGAGAGATTCTTGCTCATTGGCGTGTGCCAGAGAGAGAGAAAGAAGCCTCTAATAGGTTAAAAGAACTTGGTTTAGAAATGTCCTTTTCCTTCTTTCTTGTCTTAAACGAGGAATATATATATATGATTTCTTATTTCAGAAAAAAAAAAAAAAATCTACTATACCTATTCTATAGTTGAATTGGAGATCTTGATGAATTTGTAATTATAAAATGCCAAATATATATGATTAAAAAATTTCATTTCCAAAAAAAAAAAAAAAAAAAAAAAAAAAAAAAAACTAAATTTCCAATCCACTTAATTTCCAAACATGTTAACTCTCTTTTTTCTAAAAAAAAAAAAAAAAAAAAAAAAAAAACCTAAATTTCCAATCCACTTAATTTCCAAACCATGTTACACTCTCTTTTTTCTTTGAATTTTTTTATTAAATATGTTTAAGGTAATGTGGCCTCATACTTGCTAAGATGATAAACTTCTTTTTTCTTCCTCATTAAAAAAATTATTTTGTGTAATAAGAATTAACTTGCCTAGACCGGATTTATAGCCTCACTTATGGACTAAACTAATAAAAATGTGAATTTTTATTGAAACGATAGTATTTTTTAACATATATTAAAAAAAGAATAAAATAAGAACAATTTAAAAAAAAATTATTTTCACTCAGTTTGGTCCTAGGTAGAGCTATGGATCCATTTTGATTTCATAAAACGTTTAAAGCTAAATGTTACATTAATTAACATTTCATAAAACGCTACCTTAAACTTTAAAAACTAATTCAAATGTTATGTTATCGAATACTATAAAAAACAACGTTTAACATTTTAATTAATCAAAATGCTAAAAACTACTTAAAAAGTTATCACCAAACACAATCATAATCACTCTAAAAAAGTTTACAACTGTATTCTCATTGAAATGAGACCGTCAATCAAACTGATGGTTTCAATATGCTATATTAAAACACTTAAATCACAAAATTAACAAGCAATTTCATTATTGGATTTTGATTTGTATCTAAAAATTATAATTAAGTTAAGTCTGGTTAAATTGCAACACTTTCAATCTAGTGCAGATGGTAATACCCTTCCTTATAAATAATAACCAATGGCAAAAAAAGTAAAAAAGCAATTTCATTACATCTACAAATACTTATTGCCTGCGGCATGAAAAGACTCTGCACATAAAATTATGCACAAAGTTTAACTAATGGATTGACGCGCGTCAAGATACATCCTATTGGTTAATGCATAATGATCTAATAGATTTAGATTTGAATCATCTTTTTCTAATACTGAAAAATAAAATAATGGATTAAAAATTGCATTATTTTTATAAAATATTTACAAATCAAATTATATAGGTAAAAAATTTTATTCCAGCCATTATTTTGGTCATAACTCCGAGAATTATGATAATTATTGTTGATATTAAATAGAGCTATTTGCAATATTTTATAGTGAAACTCTTTTAGAATATATATGTATATAATAGTCAACGACAAGTAGTAAGAGTTGGGTTTGGTTCCTTGAAAGACAAAGATTAAGTTAAGATAACTCATATAAAAAGGTAAAGTACTGTTAACGAAGGTGGCATTTGGTAGAAACTAATTAGGACATGCATGCATCAACCCACAATTACAAAGTAGTAATAAATAATTAATTATTTTTGAGGTCAAATTAAAAATATTATCCAAATTTCAATTAAAGACACCAACTTTTACTATTTCATCCTTTCTTTTCAATGCCTCCACCAAAAGTACCTGATGCTTAACATGC